TATTGCAATACAAATGTCTCACCACTGAAATAACGTGAGAATATTCTTTCAGTAAATCTTCAAGATCTAGCTCTAATACCTATTATAAAATCAACACGCAACATATAATTGTAAAACAAGATAAATTATTAAACTAATTTGAAAATTATGTACAATACATATAAAAGAGCAAGATGGACACACTGCCACTTTTTCACAACCAGGAGGACCCGAAAGCATAACAGAATTGTTGCTCGCTTCAATTACTGAACTCGATATTTAATATTTCAATTTATTGAAAAATATAGAACAAAAAATATATGTGATAACATTTTCGTTCAAAAAAATAGAAGTATATGAATGCACTTTTTCGTGTCATATCAAAAGAGAGATTATTTTTCTTAATAGGATATTGTGAATGTATAGAAAAGTTGGATGTAGTCATAAATTTACTACAAATAAATAATAGGTTTTTTTTTCTGGCATATAAGAAGAACGAAATTTTCAATAAATATTCTGGAAATCAGTGAAATGAAGTGATAATGAACTTGTAATTGGAGTCAAGAAAAGTATAGAAAATGGAGAAGATAAAATTGTTCTTACAGAGTCTCTTTTGAGGAAGATCTATGTCACATTATCAACAAAATTTTAGATTGGTAACCTCGATCGTGCAATTTTTAGTCTTCATCCTTCTATCCAAATTATTTCAAGTTCAGCAAATACAAAAGTGAATAGAAATGATATGTATGGCTTGTTTGACACGACTTTTGAGAAGTAAAAAAAAACTTTTGAGAATCTATTTGACTAATTTTTTGAATGTATTTCTTTTATTTAGAAGAGCTTTTGGAGGATGGTGGTCAAATGTGACTTCTTTTAAAAATACTTTAAAAATAAGAAACTCTTTTATGTGAAGCAAAACTAAAGTTATGCTAAATGAGCTCGTAGCTTAGGGTATGAGACAGGTCAACAATTCTCACCTCCATCCCATTGCGTATTTTTGTCACATTGCATCGTCCCCATTCTCGGTTAAAACGGAACAGGGTGGGATCGGGACGGGTTTGGGGCAATTCCCCTGCCATATTTATCGTCTCGTTTAATTTTAATTTTAATTTTTTATTTTTTTCTGTCTTTAGTTAGTAATATTATTACTTTTTTTGCGAATTTATTAAGACTAACTTATGTTTTCTTTAAAAATAATGATAAATCTTTTATTTTTATTTGATAAAAAATTTAAATTTAAAATTAACTTTAAACAGGACGGGTA